GCAGTCAGTTTATAATTTTGGCAGCACTGTTGAGCATTTTGAAAATCTATTGTCATGCCTCTGTGCAAGGCTTAGTCTTTCTATCTTTATGGCATCTGGTGTAAAGTAACTAAATTCATAAACTCAAGTACTATACTTGGGTACAATTTTGAGATACTTGTACTTTATTTAAGTATTTCAATGTTTTGCTACTTTGTTCTTCTTCTCCTCTACAGTTCAGAGGTAAATGGTGTACTTTGACTCCACTACATGTATTAATACCTTTAGTTACTTTACAGATCTGGATGAATGATGTGAAATATAATCAAGTGTTAAATCAGACTTTAGTTCCACCTGGAGTAAATCCACAAGCTACCCTGCAGTATACAAAGTCATTCAAACTAGCTGCACCTTTACCAGCTTTGAAACACTTTCATGATCAATCATTATAAAACATATCATATATATTATTCTGAAATGGACCAATCTGCACAACGACTACTTTTACTGTCGCTACTTTCACTATATTTTGATGAGAATACTTTTCTACTTTTACTTGAGCAACATTTTGAATGCAGTACTTTTACTGACAGAGTATTCCTACACTCTGGTACTTCTACTTTTACTCAAGTACAAGACCTGAGTACTTCTACTTTTACTCAAGTACAAGATCTGAGTATTTCTGCTTTTAATCAAGTACAAGATCTGAGTACTTCTACTTTTAATCAAGTACAATATCTGAGTAGGCTACTTCTACTTTTACTCAAGTACAAGATCTGAGTATTTCTGCTTTTAATCAAGTACATGATCTGAGTAGGCCTACTTCTACTTTTACTCTAGTACAAGATCTGAGTGCTTCTACTTTTACTCAAGTACAAGATCTATACGTATACCACCTCCGTTTATAGCCTATGAAAAAAAAACTATTAGAAAACGAAGGCTAAAGCTAACGTTAGCAGATAGTGACAATGTATGCTAGTTAGCCAGCTCAACGATAATATTGCGACAGAAAAACGTTTCAGTTTACATCACGCTCTGCAGCTCCGACGGGGAACTCTGCTCTGAACACCTGAACGGCCCGTTCTAACAGCTGTTCACCAGCGGTCCAGTCTGTACCACAGTGACTCCGGACCGCACAGTTAATATTAACGAACGCACCCGTAGGTAATGTGGCTGCTGAAGCTAGACCATCATCGCGGAGCAGCAGAGCCGACAGGCAGGAAGACTCGAGCACACAGCTCGCGCTGCATTATAATATATAAAAAAAGAACACCATGCGTGTCATGATGGCACATAACAGCTCGCGGCCGCAGATTACTCCGGGTCCCAGACCCCCCCCATACCCCAAAAATATTTTTATTGCAGATCTACATGAATCACACAAACGACCTATTTTGGATTCAAAACGGCGAATTTCGCCGAAAGGTGAGTGATTTTCATGCCTGCCTCTATTGTCTTGAAGTGGATTCTAGCAGTTATATCTCTCACAGGCTCCGCCCTCTACTGGACTCTATGGGTACTACCTTATCATGCAAGCATTCACCTACTGAGATTTCTATAGACGTAGCCGGCCCCGGGGCGGAACTACCTGAATGCGTGCGCATCTCACTTCTGTATAAAAGGAGGCCCCGCCTCCTGACCATCATCCTTTACTCTTCAGCGAGCGGAGGTGAAAGCCTAGCACTGAGTCCAAGACGTATTTTTTGAGAGAAAGGAAGAAAGAGAAAGAAAGAAAACGAGTATTTTTTTAAATCGTGCCCTGGCTTAAATAGCGGGTGCCGATCCCCACCACCTCTGCTTCGAGTGTTTGGGGGACCAGGATATGGCCGAGGCGGTACCATTTCACGTTCGCCATTCCTTCCGAGTCCGGCGTCCATGGAAGGGTGTGTGGGCTACTCGCTCATTGCTAGAGATGCCCCCGCCTCACCAGGTCAGAGCGATTATTGGGCCGCAAGGCCGAATAAGTAGCTTAGTCCACGGGCCTTGCCCCAGGCCCGGTTCCCCCGGGGACCGGTGCTCGGTGGCTTCACATGATAGGGTCGACCCTACTTCATCACAGGCCGCCGCCGCTGCCTGCTGTGTGATGTCCCTGGGGGATCACGTCGCATGGCATTTTTCCAAAGAGGACCGTGTTGATCTCCTGGGAGCCCCCGTCTTTACGGAGGGGTTATTTAATATAAATAACTTATATATTAAGGGTTGATGTTATTATGTTTAGCTTATGATGATCAGCAGCACTATGAGCTCATTCTCTCAGTGTATCATCAGGAATACAGAGACACACACACATCATTTAAATAAGAGTTTTTAAATTCAATTATTGGTTAAGAATAAACATCTTAAAGTAAATAACAATAAACAATAGCCCTTAACCCTGTAAGGCCCCCGGTTGTAATTTTACAACATTAATTTAAGCTATCCAAAAAAGTCAGTAAATGTTTTTGTTTTTTTAAAAGACTACATTTACATAGTCAAAAGGTCCTTTTGTTCAGCCTCACAATGCTATTGGATAGTAAATGTGTTTATAGGTCCTGCCCTCTGGCCATACATATAAGACTTACATTCCTGACAATAGATCTCAATAGTCATCTTTTATGGTGTAAATGCCTTTTTAATAATAACACTTTTGAATGGAACATTCTCAACATGAATGCATCAATCAAAATGAATACAACTTAAATATGTGGGAAAATACTGTGTTTGAAATGTATAATTGAAATGAGATGTTAGCTTTTTGTTTTGATATATATATTGTATTCCAGTCTCCCTTCAGATATGTTAAGTGGCATGTAATGCAACACAATGCAGCTCACCTCCTTCAAAGTTAAATTAAAAACCTCTGCAATTTCTATATAGATATTAACAGTACTTAATGTCAGCTTAGTAAAAAAAAAAACATAACTTATTATTTACAATGGACTACGCTTAGCTAACAGACTAATTTCCACCACTCATGTACCACACTCACCTTTTCTCTTGAAATACTGGGTGACATACTGTCGCCCTCTACTCCCTCTCTCTTTTCTTTCTCTCCTTTCTTTTCTTTTTGAAAGCCTGACTTTGTGAGTCGTTGAGACATGGTGTTGTACCCTTAAAAAAGGGAAATAGTGAGTGAGAGAAGTGAAGCCATAAATCACGCAGCTCCCGCCTTCACTCGTCTGAATCGAGCCATCTTTATAATGAAGTTTGTACATTTACAATGAATACACTCAAATTTCAGGACCAATAATTATGACTAAATTATCCTTTATCTTTAGCTCTTTAACAGTGGTACAACAACATCTGTATGGACATGTGCATGTAACAGTGCCTAGCTTAGCTGCCAACAACATGACAAACGGTCAGATTCAGCGGCACCACAAGGTATACAGCAGCTAGCTTCAATGACCACAAAGTTAGCCAGAATTAGCAAGAACCTTCCAACAATACAACAAAGTGCAAAATACACACTTTCCTCTCACAACGAACCATGGTGATGTAATACGGATTATATATAACATGGGTTGATAGATTTACAGTGCTTTGTATACTGTAATTACCTTAAAAAGGGATAGTGATTGAGAGAAGTGAAGATCAAGATCGATCACGCAGCTCCCGCCTTCACTCGTCTGAGAGCGAGGAAGAGCGCAGTGATCCGTCCCACTGGAACCCCAAGGCATTACCAACAGATTAACGCACAATCAACCCATACATCTATCTCTCAGAATTGACTATTCTTGTCTGTCACAATGGCACACACGTAAGTACTAGCATCCCTGCTCACATGCTCTCACTGGCCGTGTCTCAATTCAGGGGCTGCACCCTTGGAAGTACGCAGCCTACGCGGTCCACGGAGGACCCAGCCCACGTAGACCGGGGCTGCTTCTCATGTCGATTAAATGAAATCCTTGCTTCCCTCACTTGCGTCGTTTCCCTGCGTTTAGTCCCTCCCGCCAGGGAAGCATGGAGGGACGCAAGGAAACCACGAGAAGCAGGGAAATGAGTTTTAAGAGCAATGGGACGTCCTTTCCTCCGGAGCGTCACGTGAAGCGACGTCCGTTTGTGATGACGCTGCACAGCTGTTCGTCTGGCAGCAGCCAGCTCTGTACCCGTTATTTCCACAAACACCCCCGCCTCTGTTAGTGCACATTTACTGACATAAACATTAGTATCATCTGTTGTAGATCCAAATACATGAAATAAAATAAGAACTCATTCTCAAAAAAGATAAACGCCATTCTTAAAATGTATTTAAACGAACAATAGTTTGATTAATATTGATTAGAGTGCACAATAGGAATACAATTATTCAGAGAACAAAAACAGATATGTTATCTATCAAAACCCAGTTAGATTAACATTCATTGGACTGCACACTTTGTTTGTTTGTGTGGAGCAAATTAACATTTTAAATAGGACTTAATGACTGCGGTTTGGGAGCTGAATTAAAAGCTAAGCAGGTCAGTGAAAAACTACAAGCTGAAACCCATTAAGGTAATTTAGGAAGAAGGTTCCAATATACATGTTGGATAGAAAGAGGTTTAACCTTTCCAAACACAACATGTCTGATGCCATGGCGTGCATTGCAGTAGGCCTTGATGTATATAATGCGCTCCTGCAAGAGCAGGAGCAGTCCAGGCGCCGTCGGGCACGACTACAACAGGCTATTGGTTTCATGGAGGTAAGCATCACTAGACTGTTGCAGTATGAATGGTTTCACCAACAACAGCAATTTCATGTAAGATCAATTAATTGTCAGTTTAATAAAAGCTAGGTGCTGAAGGTAACATGTATCTTTATTTTGCAGACGGATGTCGATCCCATAGCCATTTTAAACCCTCATGTGCCAGTCCTTGCGGCGTTCTTTGATGGCCAGAAAGACCTCATGCAGGACTACAGACTGGGGCGCCAGTCTCTGGAGGCCCTGCTGAGGATCCTGCCATCAAAGAACACACAAGGCTGGTCACATGAGGTGAATATTTTAATTACCCTTTATTGGTTGGCACACGGCTTGTCATACAGTGTGGTGTCCCGAGCCTTTGATGTCCCCAAGTCCACCGTCTGCAGACTGGTGCACACTGGAGTACAAAAAATTGCAGCCCTTCGCCAGGAGGTCATCAAACTGCCCCCCCCTGGAGAACTGGAGGAGGTTGGCCCAGAGTTTGCAAGGCTGGCCAACAGCCCAGTATTCTCCAGGTGTGTGGGGGCCATTGATGGCTGCCATGTCCGCATAAAGACCCCCCCAGGACCTCTGGGCCAGGATTACCTCAACAGAAAGCTCTTCCCATCCATACAATTGCAGGCAGTGTGTGATGGGAAGGGCTTCTTTCTCAACACCTTTGTTGGGAATCCTGGCTCAGTCCATGACACCAGAGTCCTGAAGAACAGCGCAATTTACAAACAGGCTCTGTATCCTCCCTCAGGTGACACCAAATATTCTTGTTAATACATCAAAATCCATCAATGACTTTTAGTATACTAAATATGTTCTCTCTCTTTTTAGGATTCTTCCTTTTGGGTGATGGTGGCTACCCCTGCATAGAAGGACCTGTGGCCCTCATCACCCCATATAGAGAACCACTGCAAGGGAGGGTGCAGAGCCGCTTCAACCAGCATCATGCCAGGGCTCGCTCCATCATAGAGTGGGCCTTTGGCAGGATGAAAAGCAGGTGGAGATCGCTGTTCTTCAAGGCTCTGGAGGTCCACCACACCTTTGTCCCCTCAGTCATCACCGCCTGTGCAGTACTCCATAACATCTGCCTCACAGCGGGGGACATCCTGGAGCCTGAAGAGGATGTTGGGGACATTGGTGTGGTTCCACCACGTCTGGTGAGGGGGGATCGAGGCGGACATGGCCAGCGAGACTGACTGGCAGGGCTGCTCTCTGCTCCATGTGTGCAACCAGTTGAACTACAAGAACATGATTATTTGTAGGACTTGGGGACACGAAGGCCTTGGACACCACACTGTGTGAAAAGCTGTGTGCCTTCATTTGCGGTTTATTGCGTTGTGATGTTTATAATTTAACAAATAAAGGAACAATGTTTTGACAAACAAAGTGTATCTCAATGGAACAATAACAACGTTGCAAAAACTTAGAAACAAAATCATTTATTTACCAATTTCTCAAATAAATCCAAAAATCTTTTTGTGTTAGCCTGATTGGCCTCAAAGCGTTCCTGCTCTCGTTGGGCCTCCTCTTTCAGAAACTCTAATGGCGCGTTTCCACTGCAGGCCTCGCTCGGCCTCGCTCGGCCTCGCTCGGTTTGGTTTAGCCCGGCTCACTTTAATGCTGCGTTTCCATTACAGTTTAGGAACTGGGGTAGTTACCATAGTAACGCAGTGTAGGCGGGGCGATCAGCTTTTTAGCGGGCGGAGCGACGCTGCATACAACTGCCGTGATGTCATCTTCAATGCGACACAACTCACAAAACACACAACAACAATGGAGGATGTGGAAGCCATCGTGTCCTTGCTTCTTGGTATGTGGTTTTTTATCACAGCAAGAAGGAAAACTTTGTTTCGGAAAAGGCTGCTTATAGTAAGACGTAATACAGAAGAAGCTGAGGGGAGACTTATGGCAATCGTACAACGCGGCAGAGACTACTCCAGGACGACTCAACGACAACGCTACTCGGTAAGCTAACGTTCGCTAACTAGCAATGTGTTTCACACTCACTATACGACCAAAGTGTTTCACGCTCATTATATGACAAAAGTGTTTCAAGTATTTAATTAATTGTAGCTACCACTTTTACGTATTAAAATATGTATGCTTTTGTTTGTGTATTTCAGAAGTTAGGTTGCCACCGCAGACCATGTGTTTGGATGCTTGACCGAGCAACCGAGTGGTGGGGTGTGATTGTTCCATCTTTCACACACACTCAGTGGGTGGAGAACTTCAGGATGTCTGAGGAAACCTACGTATACCTGTGCAACAAACTGCGGCCAGCGATGGAGAGACAGGACACACCATTCCGCGAGCGTATACCTCTAAAGAAGAGGGTGGCCATCGCACTGTGGAAGCTTGCGACCGGCTCAGAGTACAGAAGCATTGGACATCTTTTCGGAGTGAGCAGGACTACTGTGTGCCGGTGTGTGCAAGACTTCTGTGCTGCTGCAGAGACGTTGTTGGTACCGGAACTAATTTGTTCACCAGACCGGGAGCAGTTTGCAGAAATGGCTGCCTACACTGAGAACAGGTGGGGGCTCCCACAGTGTGTAGGTGCTATTGATGGATCACACATACCCATCTTGGCACCACAGGAATACCACTGCGACTATTTCAACCGTAAAGGCTGGCACTCCATCATCCTTCAAGGAGTTGTAGATGGAAAGGGACATTTCTGGAATGTGTTTGCAGGAATGCCTGGGAGCTTGCATGACGCTCGGGTTTTGAGGCTGTCCTCATTGTGGGAGTTAGCCAGTCGTGGCAACTACTTTCCACCTTGCACCAGGGACATTGGTGGGGTGAATGCTGGCTATTAATAGGGCCCCCCTACTTGCCCTCTTCTTCTTGGCAGGCGGGGGACTGAGAGAGGTGGATGGCTCTTCATCCAGTGTAGTGGTGCTGCTACTTGTGCCAGGCTGCCCAGGATCCTCCTCTTCCTCCATTGCCTGGCCACAAGGAGCAGACCCAGCTCCACTGGATGAAGAGCCAATCCCACTGGGGGCCACGTCAGCCGAGTCCATCACTTTGGAGGCTCCATGGAGGGCCGACTCCCAATGGCTTCATGCATCAGGGAAAACCACGACCATGTGGCTGCCGTGGCCTCCGCCGCATCTGTCCCCGTCCATGTAGGGGGGGTTTTCAGCTCCTGAGGGAGAACAAGGAATGTATGAGTCAGATGAAGACACAATAGAAATAGCTGCATTGTATGCATCTAGAAATACAATATCTCACCTTATATTTTCTTTTCAGGTTGTCCCACTTTTTTGCCAGTTGGGTGGGAGTGAGCAACTCCTCCAACTCCATCTTCTGCAGAACCTCTCTGTGGAGTAAACCATTTCTTAAATTATAGCATCCAGGCATGCAAAGTCTGATTACTTCTGACAATATGCTTCATGCATAATAATTCCATGACACACTCAGGTTCACTGTGGTTCATTCACAGTAGTGGTTCCATTGATTATCATACCATGCACCAAAACAACATTGTCAAACAACTCATGTAGAACTGTAGCTCACCCCCAGGCCTTCTTGGCTGTGAACCTCTTTCCTGTAAACAGGTGCTCATTGTCAGTCCTCTGTCTAATGAGGGCTCTGGTTTGGGCCTCCGTCCCTGTTTAAGGAGAATTATGTTATACATACATCAGCAAAAGGAAACCTTAAGCCATTAACATTTCACTCACATAATGCTGCATATAAATGACAGCTTAATTATTGAATTGAGCCGATTTGAATGTATTGAATTATTTAATACAAATACATTGTGACTGCCAGCCAAATGAATGATGGTACCTAGTTTAGCATACTCAGCCCGACTCAGCCTGGTTGTTCCTGGCCCTAGAACCACGATTTAGTCGGGCCAGAAAAAAGGTGAAAAAGTAGCCCCGGGCCAAAACTAGGCCAAGTGGAAACGCAACCAAAAACGGGGCCCCGCACGGCTCGGCACGCTTAAAGCGAGCTACCCGCTGCAGTGGAAACGCACCATTAGTTACGTCTGTATGTGGCAGGTAGCCTAGTTAAATGAAGAAACAAGTGGTTTCCAACCGAAATATGTCCGATAAATAACGAATGCTGCGTGTGTATACGCACGTTATGTAGCCTATTGCAAATCTTGCCTTTAGTTGGGCATTTCACATGAACATTGTTGAGAAAATATAAAGCGTTCAATAACAGAAATATATGAGTTGTGGGTTAAATACATGTGAACAGATGTTGCATTATCGTAACGGTATCGTTGTAGGCATACAAATAACATGAAGTAATAGGTACTTACACTTGTGTAGTTTTTCTGCCGCCATGTCTTTCAAATGTGCCAGCTGCATGCTGGAGGCAGGGCTTTTAAACCGAGTGAAATCAAGGATTCATGCCTCAGCTGTGATTGAATGGAAATGACAATAAATGAAACTGTAAAACGAAAAAATCGATCATGAAAATGTTTCCAATAATGATTTTTGACCACTTTTGTTCAGATCACATATTTGTAACTAAATTATACATTAATTGAAACAAAACACGGTATAAACTGAGGAGTGAGTCCCGTGAGGTTCATGTATTTTCTTCACTCCGCTGGGGTATTGCTCTCATGTCAAGAAGCATCAGATCAGTGCATGCACTGCCTCGTCCAATCAGTGAGCGATACACAGTAAGGGGGCGGGGTGAGTATCTGAGGATTTCATCGGAGGATGGTCTGGTGGTTCCTCGGTTATCGCTCCTCCATGATCGCTCCTCGCTCCTCGCTCCTCGCTCCTCGCTCCTCGCTCCTCGCTCCTCGCTCCTCGCTCCTCCGGCAGAAATAAGAGCCATGGGACGGTACTCAAGATGGCGCAGGCAAATCGACTTCCGGTGAGACCGAGGACCGAGGAGCGAGGAAATGAAAATAGTCGACCTGAGAAGCAGCCCGAGACCGAGGAGCGAGGAAATGAAAAATAAGAGAAGTGAGAAGGGCCCAGAGAAACGCGGATTTTGGGTCTTTATCTTTTTTAAAAGAGGAGGCGGAGCTAATGCCTGATCAGAATTCTACCGGAGATAAAGTTAAATTCTGCTGTCATAAAACGCCATCCTGTTCTAAACCACATCAAGGATTATTTCTGAAACAATATGGAGCTCAAATGCTTTTTCTCTTGCGGATTTATCACAAGGTGAGTTCCTTTTTTTATTTCCTGCTTTTTAAAACACATGTGCTCTACAGTACAGGACAGGTTAGCTCTGAGTGTTAGCGAGGCTTGCTAATGTAAACAAAAACGAGATTACGTCCAAAACACGTCAGGCATTGTTTCTGATAGCAAGTTTCTGTGGGTCCTCCGCCGATTTGACGTCATATCGGCAGCAAATCTGTATCCGTTCGTTGTACCCCCGTTTTTAAAAGATTTGGGTACGTTCCTACTTCCTACCCTCACCTATGGTCATGAAGGATGGGTCATGACCGAAAGAACGAGATCGCGGATACAAGTGGCCGAGATGGGTTTTCTCCGCAGGGTGGCTGGTGTCTCCCTTAGGCATAAAGTGAGAAGTTCGGTCATCCGGGAGGGACTCGGAGTTGAACCGCTCCTCCTTCGCGTTGAAAGGAGCCAGTTGAGGTGGTTCAGGCACCTAGTTAGGATGCCACCTGGGCGCATCCCTATGGAGGTGTTCCAGGCACGTCCAGCTGGGAAGAGACCAAGGGGTAGACCTAGGACCAGGTGGAGGGGTTATATGTCTTTGCTGGCCTGGGAGCGCCTTGGGATCCCCCAGTAGGGGGATGATGTGGCCAGGGAAAGGAAAGTGTGGGGCTCTCTGCTGGAACTGCTACCCCCGCGACCCGACCACGGATAAGCGGGAGAAGATGGATGGATGGATGGATGGATGGATGGATGGATGGATGGATGGATGGATGGATGGATGGATGGATGGATGGATGGATGGATGGATGGATGGATGGATGGATGGGTACGGAGGAAAAGAGAAAGGGTTTTATTTTCTGACGCTGCGTGAGTTCCCTGACACACCGGGGACCCATATTTATGTATAAAAGACATCAAAAAGTGCATTTTGCACTTTTTAAATTAATACCTGAAATATTAATGCCAACATGAAGGGTATACTGCAGCCTAATGTACAGTTGTATAGTGTTACATATTATTGCATTATACATGTTTTTTTTATATTTAATCAACCTCATAAATGTCAACAATTATATTATGATTCTGAACAAAAAGTGAAAAGTAAAACTCCCATGACAGGTAGGCTTTGTTGTACAGTTGTTGATGGAAAGTTAAAACAAATCATCACCGTAAAACAACAATACAGTACTCTGCAGCTATATATAGATTGATATGTATTGTAAGGTGCAAATCTATGGTATCATACAGTAAATATTTATGATGTATTTATTGTTGATGCTTGTGAACATTTTCCTCTCCATCTGGTTGTGATTTGAAAATATGATTTGTTGTTTTAAATCTTTCCTTGTAGGAATTTTCTCTGTATCATTTTGTAATTTCTCTGTATTTTAGTCTCAATAATCTTATCTCTAATTTGTACCAAATCCAGTGGTTATGAAACCTACTACATCAACTGACTGTGTCACCCCAGTTGAAGAGGAGAGTAGATTTTGCTGAGCCGTTTTGAAGCAATGAGTGGTCTGACTCTAACCTAGGTCCAGATGACATGCAAGACACAATCAGGCCCTATTGATTTAGGCTACTTTGCATACATTTGGTAAATGACTTTGACTTGTAGAAATGAACTCCCTAAACTCGTTCATATAAGAGCTCATTTATGTAATTAGCTCTTAATAGCATAAGAACCCGGACCCATTTCTATTTTGGGGGAAATTAAGGGGAACATAATTTAGACTAAATAGATCACTTAGAACACATTTCTGACAAGTAACCCCCCCTAGTGTCAACTATCTGAAATGTGACATGTCACATTGGGCTTTAATGGTAAAATAACTCTTATATATAACTTCATTAATGACGATGATTTTTTGGTTTTAATTAGTTTGAACATTCTTTGAATTGAAGAATAAAGAATATATTAACTAAATATAATTGAATCAGCTAAATTAACTGAGCAGATCATAATCATATTTTTAATTGTGATTAGAAATATATGACACTTTGGGTTTACTGTGAAAGTTTAGGGTTAAAGTCCCGATGTGACACCAGTGTTACAGCGATGTTTGTCTCATATCAATTTGATCAATAAATGTTTCCACAACAGGTTAAATGTAATAAAGGACATATTATGTAAGCATTTTAATTCTTAAATGGCTTGAATTTGACCTTTAGCAACAACAACAAAAGCTTTTGAAATGCAGCTAGTTAGGTCACATGTGTTAGTCTGGCACATGGACATCATGGACCTGGACCATGACCCACCAGACTGTTCAGTGTGTAAGGGACTTCATGAGATAAAATAAAGGCTAAAGCGGTACAAGGAACTTTCCAGAACATTTAAAGTTCATGTGACACCCGTGTCACGGTGGGTCCTTATGGGGTAATCAAATCCTTTTCATAAATCCCACTTTTGACTTATATTGATCTGATCTACTTCTTTCACAACACAATTGAGTGACCACAGTTCTTGAAGACCAGCAGATTGTCATCTTCAAAGAATGAACTATGACCGGAGCTCAGAAGTCGATCTTACACAGGGCTGGCAAAACAATATTTTAGTGTTTTTATTGATCGATTTGTGGGTCATGATTTGATAAGGCAAGGCAAGGCAAGTTTATTTATATAGCACTTTTCAACACAAGGCAATTCAAAGTGCTTTACAAAAAATGAAAGAGATTAAGAAAATGGCATTTAAAATCAGTCATTAAAAAGAAAAGCTAATAAAATAAACATTAAAAGAAAAAAATACATGGCAGTCAATTAAACATTAAAAGAAAAAAAGTACA